TGGTTGGTCTCCGAAATAAACGGTATGATGAAAATCTAAAGAAATTACTCCTATTCACACTTAGCTATCGTTGGTTTAGAGGGCATTTGATCACTGCGTACAAGATAATAAATGACCAGAATCACCTGAACAAAAATGTGCTGACATTGAGTAGGTATGGGCTTCCTCGTGGAAACCCTAGAGGTACAGCTTACCAGAGGACGAGGACCCGGGTGCGCTCCCACTTGTTTTCAATGCGGCTTTGCTGACTCTGGAACACCTTACCGGCTACGGTAGTCTGTAGAGAGCTGACAACTGTAACTACACTTATTATTATTATTACCGATATATGTATATATATCAACTTCAAATTTAATCAGCCGTCTGTTTTTACGTTTTCTTTATTTCTTTTTTATCTGTTAGTCTGAATAGCTTCACTAATTATATCTATTATTATTATCTCTTTTCTTTTGAAGACGATACCGGAGGACTAACTGGGGAAAGGATCAACTCCATTTACAGTAGTAACAGTCTTAACACACCTCATACTACAAACCACATATAATTAATTCCAGCACTACTCCTTTTGGAGTCAACCAAAGCGACGACAGTCGGGTGGCGGGACGAGCTACGCAGAAGTTTATCGAAGATCAGGAACCTATACCTCGCAATCAAGAGGCGAGCACCAAGAAATCAAATTGGTTTTTGCCAGCTCTTAAAAACGATATTGGATATTGGATTGGGCAGAAGTAGAAAATGAAGTGTGCGGTACCTCTGTCAAGGTAGCTGACTACGAAAGACGCTATAGTCAGTTTCAAGGTCATGATGGGTTCCTGCGTCTGCTGGTTATATGTTTTCGTGAATTCGTTTTCCATTGAATTTTAAAGGTTTTTTTGAACGTTTTGCTGGTTTTGGAGTATGTAGGTCAGTTTTTTGTCACTGGATGCTACTAAGACGTTTATTTTTAGCTTGCAGTTCCCAGTTTTTATGTTGGTAGTTAAGGATTATGGTAAATCTGCAATCATTGAGCCAATTCACGTATACTATGCTAATATAGTAACTTTTCTCAGTAATTAAACGCCTTAACTGTTCTGCCATTGTTGGATCAAACAGTGGCAGAACAGTTACGGATTATTTGCTTAAGGTAGAACTGTGCGCTGGTTTATCATCATGACTGGCACCAATTCAGCACCTTGTTCTTATTCCACGCATTATCAGAAGTAGCTTATCAGCCTTATTGCAGCCCTTCTAGTCCAGGTTCTGCTCCTCCCAAGCTTACCATAATGCTGAATTAAATCTCACTAATTCCAACGTTCTACAGTCAGTAAATTCTGGATCTTTTCTTAAATAGACTCTTTAATGTCACAGTCTAGAACTCAGTTTTGGTTTTCAGCATGACTGACACTAATTCAACACCATGTTCTTTTTGTAGACATTTTCAGGAGTAGATGAGCACCTACTGGTTTTGCTTATCGGCTTTATTTAAACCCTTTGAGCTCATCTTCAGTACGGACTATCTTAACTTCAGAAGAAAAAGACATAATTTAGCACATAGTGGCAATTTTTTTGAGCTTAAATTTGGAAATTATATTTGGAAGCTGTAGTACAATGTCACTGCAAATCTGTCAAGTTAGGTCCACTGGTAGCACCCTGTAAATAAGCAAAATAAAATATCAGTTGATGAAACATTGTGCTCATCACATTCTCAGCATTTACATTTAGAAAAGTTCGCTTACATAACTGCCACTGTTATATCCCCTGCTATCTTGGTATTTTAAGCGTCCCAAGCTTACTAAACTATACCTCCAAAAGTGCATTCATACCTCACAAACTTATATTCCATAGGGCCAGATGGGTCTTTTTTACCTGAATCAAGCCGTTAGGATGTGTTGGATTCCTTTCAAAGAAATAATGAACAATTTAGTTGTTACCTTCATAAATGTATCAAAAGCTTGCTTAAGTTGCACCCACGTATAAAATACACAACTAAGCATTATTCTTTGGAATATAGACATTACATCAGACAATATAGATGACACATTCCGTGAAGTAGACGCAGTAGGAGTACTTTGCAACATCATTTAATGGTTCTAACAATTCCTAACGTGCACAACACAATGATTTCAAGTAAATGAACAGTTGTATGCATTTCATTGCTTATATACCACTTTTGTGACATAGGAAATTTACTTTATTTATGTTGACCTAGTATGTGCAATTCCCACAGGTCACTAAACTGAAAACTTAAAAAAGTAGATCACTTAATACATACATATATCTACATGTCCAAAATTAGACACATTATACGTTTAGCAATTTTTATTGAATTCTATTCCCATAGTAACAAAAAATGCATACATCCTATTTTGGACTTAAAATAAATGCATCAAAATTATTGTTAACTTATATTCACTTACTAGACATTCCCATATATCTCAATGTACTTTAAATACTACAAATGCATCCAAATAGCGTGTGACTATCACACTACACTCACACCAAAAAAATTAACACGCCGTTATATTAGGGTAAGTTAAAACTGACTTTAAACTGACTGTAACTTTCCGTGTCAAAATAAAGAGACTGCCATTTTTACTTATATTTTAGACCAATAAGAAGCCAGCTAGCCAACAGCCAATCAAAATCTGCCTATATCGCTTTTCGCTGACTACTGGCTAGTTTTAGTAGATTACCATCAGTAGTTTGTTGCCCTGGTTTTTAAAGAAGTAAACAAATCTCTCTGTAGTATTCTGTGACTGTAGTCATAGGTACACTAGCTTGTTCAACATAGTACTTAGATTCTTGATTCCTTATTCCCTGGTTTACCAAAATGCCGAAGTAAAGCTCGCAAATTCTGAAGTAGCACTTACTTTCTATAGTGAGTAAATCCTCAAATGGTTTGATTTTCCGTACAAAATTGGACTTGGTTCTTTTTCTAGTATGACTGACTCCAATTTAGCACTCTTTGCCTTCAGAATTGGTTTCGACTTACAATAAGCTCAGGGTCCCACGAAGACTAGTTGGAATTTGTGAAGCCGGGCTGGCTTGGTGGGGTGCATTGGTTACACCTCGAAAATTGCCAAAACACAGGCGACCGACAATGAAGACACTGAACAGTTGTTCAGTCTCTCATGTTACGTGTGCCAATGAAGTCAGTAATATTGAGTTTAATTGCAGTGTCCCAATTAGGGAGAGAGATTCTGTTGATAGGGTGAAGGCCCATCGGTAAAAAATGACTAGGACATTATTTACGTGCATCGAGCCGCAGCTCTCCTCAAATAGTAGTGTTAGCTGAAGTAGAACTAAGTTGGAAAAGTGTTATGATTGGTACAATCGTAATCTGTCAACCATCTATGAAGTCTGGTTGTTGTTTTGAACCATATAGGGATTGTTTGTGTGGGGTTCTCAAGGTGGTATGTAGCATATCTAAAAATTATTCATTATGGTGTGTGTACGCTCACTCAACGTTATCATACAGATTCTGAGAACACCAGTCTTTATCTGATTATTTCCACGTTTGGTTTCATTGTATTTATATTTGCTTTATACATATACAGTTTTCCTGTGTAGCAGCTTGAAATAATGCAATTTGTGTAGATTGCTAAGTTGGTTATTGACTCAGTCAGTGTAGTATTATTTTGATGGTGTTTTGTGAGTTTCCTTATAAACCGTACTTACATCACTTATCGTAAGACATTAATTGAGTGTTAGGAAGTTAAGGAATCTTACATATTCTGGATAAGGTTTCATCCTAGCCTAATTACCGAATTTGCAATTCCCTTCTGCTGGTTAGTGTGGGCCGTTTTACTAAGTTGCATCAGATACCACATGTGAGTTTCTTAGATAGTAAAGCAGTGTTCATTGGTGAATAACCCGTTTGCTGCATTTGAAGCGCAGGATTTTGTCGTCATGCGAAGGTTAATATTGTTTATCACTTCTCCGAATTTAAGAATCAATCTGTGTGAATATCACTGACTATGTGATCACCCAACTTTGATGTGGCTGCATACATTGCTTACTGATTCTCAGCACTGGGACTCAATTCGTTGTCTGACTTGTGGCAATCTAGTTGCAGCAAATGTTTTTGGGCATCTCAGGGCTCTTTATTCCACTTATAACCCTCAATATTTTGTTTTAATTTAACAATAAGAGGGTAGTTAAAGTTAATTTAGGGTGGTCGCTAATGTGAAATAAATATAAAATTCCTCCTAAGATTTATCTTCAGTGAGCATCATATTCGGATGGCCTGCATATGAGTTTACTTTTACTCACTTCCTTACAGTACTGTCTGCATTGGAGGTAGGCTCAGAACCAGTTTTAAATGTTCATTTTATGTGATAGAATGCCATCACATACTTTTTTAAATCAAGGGAACGATATAGACTAATTTTTGTTGCTTTAGGTACATGAGTGTAGAAAACGGTAAACTTGTATGTTTTAAAAAGACCAAAAATTGTCTGTAATGAGTATGTCAGGTATTTTCGATTCTAAAGGGTGTAATACTCCTAGCCTATAATTGAGTTATATCACCTTTGTTATTTAGTGAAAAGATTACTCATTTCTGTTCATCAGACAGTTGTTTCGTGTCAAAAGGGTAGTGCCATTGATATATCTTACTGCTCAAAAGCGTCTCTAATATTATATGGAATTTGAAGTGTTAAGAGTTTCTGGTAGACCTTTAATTTTATAATCAATAGATAAGCAACGTTTTGACTACACCTCTAAATAAATAGAGTATTTAATACAATCTATAACTTACATATAACTGCGTCGTAATGTGTTTGAATGGAATTTATTGCCGAAGGTGTAGTAGTTCCAAACTCTTGCTGAGATTTCAGTAGGGGAAATGAAAGCCTGTAACCCATTACCTAAAAGTTGTTTGTCCTAACTAATGGGTTGTTTAAGATTGAGAAAAGGTATACAAAAACTCGTGTTATATGTTTTCGTTATCACAGGAGATTATTAGTAGTAATAACATCCTAATCTCTCTTTCAATTTTTTTAATACTTTTAGTCGCATTCATGAAAAAGGTTGCACTAGTGACAGTGATAGGACTTCCTGGAAGTGGAAAAAGCACTTTGTGTGGTCATCTATGCAATCTGAAGACAGATGAATGTTTGGTCATCTGGATAGAGTATGACAAACTTATCCCATCAGAGATATTCTCTCAAAATTCTGACGTATGAAATGTAACTGAAGTTGATTACTTCCATTAGAATAGTTACTGGAAAAACTGGCGTCAAGCTGTTCTTAACTGTACGGAAAGACTCTTGGCTTCTTGGAGGAATACTGATTTCGTGCAAGTTTCAAGTGAAGAGGAAAAAGTTATTTGGTTGAATCTAAGTGAATATTCTACTTTAAATGTGGAGAAGATCATAGTGTTACTGGATGACAACTTCTACTACTCTAGTATGCGTCGTGTATTTTACAGCTTAGCAAAAAAGTGTAATTTGTAGTTTTCTAATGCTTTCAGATTCATGCAGTTACGCATCAGTAGTTTTCAAGTGTGATGTAGACATTTGTATTCGTAGGAACTGTACCAGAATGAATCCTGTCGATGAACATACCATTCATAAAATGGCTGAAAAGTTCGAATGGCCTGATCCAGTTAACAACTTATGGGAAAAGTACACAATTTTGGTTAATTCACCTAATGAGGATGATGATGATGATGCGTATGTGGTTCATTAATATCATTTTCTTTTTATTAACAGAAATAATCCACTTAGCTTACTGAGCACTTTGAAATCCGTACTAGACTCTCCAATCATAAACGATGATTTTGCAAAGGAAGAAGAGAAAAATAGAGATAGAAGTATCAATCTTGAAAGTTTGCTACATAATGCAGACAATCATTTAAGAAAAGTTGCTAATCACATAATCAATTCAAAGGGTAACTTTCTTTTTAAAAAGACTTTCATTACATACTTAAGATCCGTCATGGAGGACTCAATATGCCAAAAGCGTGTCGAAAGTTAAGGCGGAAACTTTGCGAATGCTGCATGATATTCTTTACAAGGAGAATTCAGTTTGGAGCATTGAAGATTGTCAAAATCTAGTGGAAAATTTGTTTCATGAACAACTTTCTAAAGTTTTAAGCGACGAATTACTCCTGGATAAAAAATGAAGTGTCTTTATGTCAAACATTAAGAAGAGATGTGAGATACTTCAAATGTATATTACCCTATATTGTCTTTCCAATTTATTTTTTCATACAACTGTTCATTTGTACAGATTTTTATGGTTTAAATATACTCTGAGAAGACGAATACTTCTCACTCTGATCCTTGAGTTTTCCTAGCAATTTATGTGGGGCATTGATTCCAGAATGACTTTTATTGGTGAGATTTCATTTTTTTTCACTTCTGAAGTTGGGAATTAGCGCTTAGTAGTATTACCCTATTCTTCCGTGTACACGTGAATGTATACGGAACGGCGTCAACGAGATTAAGGGATACCTTCGCTTACTTTATGCGACAATAGAATAGGTAGTTAGCATTGTGTTACTATAACAACCTAATATACCTATGAAGTATTTTTCACCAACCTAAGTCTTTCTGCCAACTTGGCAATGTGTCCACCAATCTCTGTGACGTAACACTGGTACGTTGTTCTCCGAAGTTATCTGTCTGTCTGGATTCAACATAGAACTTGGCACCGAAGTGCAGCAGTTCGAGTTTCCACGTTCCAAATAGCACACAAATGTAGACAAGAAGATGAGTGAAGAGAATCAATAGAGTTTTGACAAGTATAAGAGTGAAACAGAATGAGTAATGGTAGAAAGGAATATGAAAGTTTACAGAGACTGAATACATCTGCGCCATTGACAACGATTTTGAGCCATGTCACCTATTGTCTCCAGCCATTGATTCTTAGAGTCCCGAGGGCCCCAACCCGGAAGTCTGCATCTCCCTACCTTAATCAGGTTAGCTGTCAAGGATTTCATGGATTGATGCCATGTTTTTATTTGGCCACCACTTACTCTTTTCAAACCTGCACCTATATCAGCTAGTAATGCCCGTCGGGGGAGGCGATGGTTAGGCATGCGTAGCACGTGACCTAGCCATCTCGATCTATGTAACTTCATAGCCTCTTCGATTGATTTTCCCTCTTTGCCCAACACTCTACGCCTAACGTCAACACTACTTACCTTATTATACCACCTAGCGTGAGAAAGAGATCGTAGACATCTATGATCAAAAGCAGTCATCCTCTTCATGTCTTTAACTCGTATTGGCCATGTTTCAGAGCCATAGAGAAGGATGGAGCGAACTGCTGAGCAGTACACACGTCCCTTGGTTGATAGCCGGATGTCACGCCTACGCCAGAGATGGCGTAAGTTAGCGAAAGCAGCTCGAGCTTTTTGGATCCGTGCTGAGATTTCATCGAAGATTTCCGAAGTTATATTGTAGAATCTAGTATGTAGGAAGCTGTGAACTGTTAGCATTCATCATTCATGCGTGGCTACAATGTCGAAAAAAACTAAGTTTCTTTGTGAGTTTGTGAAGAACTGTCAGTGTTTTAATTTCGTGCATATAATTCTCCCGTACACAAGCGATCCAGTGGTTGTTTATCTGTTATCTACAGCATATTTTCATGGTCAATTCATTTTCCGGCTTATCTCGTTGGTCATCCTTGGTGGTATATTTTCCTAGTTTAGATATATCTGAGTGTGTTGTTATTGCATTTTGTGTAGAAATAATATCCGTTCCTGTTAGTTTTCAAATGACTGAAGGTTATTCGGTTAATAATAAGCTTAGATCCACTGGAAATAGAGTTAGCTTTTATCTCATGAAAAGGTGAGGTTAAACTGATACGTAGATTGAATCAGAGAGTAAATTTTCTCTAAGAAAGAGTGGCTGCAGTCAAAAGGCTTATCTATAGGACATATACTTTGATGTTTGGCTGCTGTCACCTTTTGTGAAATCTTTTTATAAAACTGTGAAGTAAACATCACCAAATGGCTTCATTTATGCTGGAATGGTGTAGGATTATTCAATAAAAGTTGATTGTACTGCTAAGCGGTGCGCTGTATTCAACCCTGTGGCTATAAAATATAACCAGTAAAATAAATTTACTAAGATCCCGTGTATTTAACCACATTCATTTTGCGTCTGATAGAATTATCATATGAGCAGTGTAGGGACTAATTGTAGCCTTAATCAAGTCATTTGAACGTCCAATGAGTGAAGCGATTGTGATACATGATATGCGCTTCTACTCACCAGCCTTCGCAACGTATAAGTAGAACTAGATTGAAAGTAATGGCTGGGTTAGAAATCTTGTAGCACTTTAAGAGATGACTGGTTGTTCATTGAAACCAAATATCGAAGCTCAGATTGGTTAGTTGATTGCATACGGTGCTTGAAAACAATAGTGTATAGTTAAGGACTAACTGACATTTCTGCAGCGTTCTTAATGATGGAGACATTGTGATCACCCTAATCTTCGTACCCCATTTCTTTATGCACTTTGTCTTTTTCCTACTGTCTGTGGTTATTTCTATTCTTAGGTCTTCTTTTTTACTAATGCCGAGATATGACACAGTAACTTGCACTGCTGAACAATAACGGTGGATGGTATGACATCACTGTTTTGTCTTTCTCTCATGGGGTAATGTATATCCACATTAATCTGATTGTTAGATATATCTCTCATCTTAATTGGTGATTCTTCTGCGTAGTGGTCAGCGACTAGAACTCTTTAGTAAAACACATATTCACTGTTTTTTGCGAACTCATCTTCGCAGAAGTATTCACCGCACAGATTGATACAAGTCAATCAAACTGCTGTTCGTATCACTGAAGATTAAATGTATTATTTAGTGACGTTTGAATACAATTCATTGCTCATATGCGTATCAATTATATTGATTTAATAACCTGGACATGAGGACGCCGTCGAATGACATTGTGTGCCAAGACATTGCTGAAATGGAATCCCAATGGGAAACGACGAGTGCGTTTTCCGAGGGTGATATGGAGGAGGTCGTTTGGCGAGGAGGAGATGAGAGATTATAAGCAATCGTGGGCCCATCTGAAGAGGACAGCAAAAAATAGAAGAAAGTGGAGATGTGTTGTTTGAGCCCTATGTTCCACTCGGAACCCCGGGAAATAATAATAATATCTCACTCCTACGTCATTGGCCGTATGTATATATATCATTGTTTCCTCTTGTAGATATACTATGGCTGATGCCGAAATGTACTTTTCAGCTCACGTTGTATGTTGTCATTTAAGTAATACGGGTTGGGGGAAGAGGTAGTTGTCGTATAATGTTGTTGGCGTAGTCAAGCGATATTCGTGATCAGCTCGACATCCCTATTCAACTCAACGTATTGCAAATATAAAAGTGGCAACATCATAACATTAATACAATATTCTGTCGAAAGATTTCAGTTAGTGCTTGGTTTATAAGGTCACTGCCCAAATACATACGGTTTTTAGGGCATCAGAATTTCCTTTTATACCTTGGATTTTATCCAACCAGATAGTAGTATTCAAATCCAAATTAATGATGTAATTGATAGTCTACTGTAAGTCGAGTTATTTTATTGAAAAGTCTCAGAGTTAAATGACAACCTTTATTAGCCTATTAGAGTAACTAGTAAAGTCGGATTTCCAACAGTTACATTCAGATATCTATTCCATATTCCTTGAAGAAGGCGTCTAGCTAAAGATGAAATCAGAGATAGAAACCTTCAGGAAGATGAAGAATAGGGACTAATTAGGTGTGGAATAACAACCTGACAACAGGATGAAACTCGTTGATGAGGTGTAATATACTTTTTAGCTAGAATGGTATGGTGTGATGGGTTAATCGAAATCTTAAACAGGGTAAGGACTGAACACATTTGGAGCTTGAGGAGCTTCTAAAGGCCTTTATGAGTACTTTCAAAATAACAAGGGGAAGCAATTAAAAGGAATAGGAAGAGTGCAAGAGTTAACAAACTGTCAAAGTACAGACTGAATTGTATCAGAGTGTTTCAACTTCCATATGTGGAGTGGTATTTTCCTAGAAATCTCTGGGATATAAGACAACCAGGAAAGGTAAGAAGACAGCTTTGTTCCAAGATAGTTAACATCCCACTTAGTTTCTACGTCAATACTGCTACATTACAAGAATCGTGAGAAGGAACCAGTTGACGTAGACCTTGTTTACGTCTGGATGTGAAATTGGCAGTCTAACATTTGGAAGGGTTTAGCTTAATACTATTTATCGACGACTGCTGGCTAATTTTTGATAAAGTACAATTCATTTTAAAACAATCTCATCAGAAAGTAACAGGCACAGAAAACTGTCATCCTGATTAACTTAACCAGAAATTCCTTCTGTTGCAGTACATTGTCCCATTTGACTGAACCAAGAATAGTTGATAGTATAAGTAATTTCCATTAATCGAGCTGATATCAAAAATGGATGCCCACTAATGCAGCTGTAAAAGGAAATAAATCGAATATTACTTATCTTGGCATTAGTTCCTCTTCAAATCTCTGTTGGTCGTTTCATTTCTTGTTAATTTCTAAGAAAATCTTTAGGTTGACTTATTACATAAGGAAGCTAAGACTTTCTAATATAACTCAACCTCTTCTATGGCAATTTCTTAATTTATGTATTCTGCCCATTCTTCTTTATTGTTCCCTAGGCTTTCCAAGACAGACTACGTTATGTTACGATTGGACACTAACTGAAGTCATGTGTCTAGTCCTTTGTTTTCTGCAAACTGAATTCTATCGGTCCAGTTTGCGATGTGGCCAACACGGTAGGTGGCCCGCCATCATGATCCTCTCAGAATTGGTGTTATTAGATAGTTGGAGGCAATTGGTAAGAAGCCTTGGACCTTAGTTTCGTGCTTTTCGGCACTCGTCAACAAGGCGTATCTGCGAGCTATCTAGAATTTTGGCCACATTGCAAACTTGACTGACAGAATTCAGTTTGCACTAAACAAAGGACTAGACACATTACACTAGTTACTAACTAGTGTCCTATTAAAGTATCTAATACAGTCCTACAGGAGACCGATCGCGAGCCCGGATAGCTCAGTGGTAACATCTCTGACTGCAGCACCGCGTGATGCGGGTTCGAGTCTCAGAAGGGACATGAGTTCCTTCAGGATTGCAGATACGCCTTGCTAACTGGTGAGTGCCAACTAGCATGAAACCTAGGTCCAAGGCTTCCTGCCGATTGCCTCCAACGTAGGAGATTGAAGGCTGTAGGCCGGGTTATTCGTGTGCTTTTGATTCAACTAACTGCCATCCTCCTTATCGTAACTTTCTCTTTGTATCTCTTCAGATACAACCAGAAGAAATTTCAGTAGAATTTATGCTCGAATGGCTAAATATAAAAATTCAACAATATCATATTTATCACTCTGACAAATGTCAGAGAAGAGCTTATAAATCTACTTTTTAGTCTGTATATAAACAAAAAATTATAACCAGAATTACGAATGCTGATAGTATTCTTCCATTACCTTTCAGTTTTTGCGGTTTTACTGGTTTAAGTATTTATTTGTTTTTAAAAGGTGGTCAATTGTTGCAATATCTACAATGCTGAAAATTCTATTCTTTGCCAAATTCCTGTCTCAAGGCAACAAATGTTTTCAACAGTGCCATAATCAGGTATCTCCTTGACACGCGTCATGAGGTGGACGTTGCAACAACGTTCAAAATAATCAACAGGCAAAAGAGTTTGCCGAAGCAATCTCTATCAAGCGCGATTTATGCGTTCAGAAAAAAGCGGTTATCAGTCTTTCCTTCTCCTAGTAACTGGACGTTTTCATCCTCTCTTTTTCTGATTGCGTAACGCAGAAAGATTCCATTGTATATGATTATTATTGTTTGGGATAAAGTTATTATTATTATTATTAGCTCGCCGACCATGCACATGGTCCGGGGTTCGATCCCCAGCAGGCGCACTCCTTTACCTCGCTAAGCCAGAACTAAAAGCTGGTGAAGAGGAAAGGTTGGGCATGAGGCTAGCAACCCCATCCTGTAAAATAAACACTGCTACAGAAACTTCAAGCCTCTAGCTTGAAGCCCTATGTTCCACTGGGAACGTGAAGGAATAAAAAAAATTAGCATCTTATGCACATAGTGATTTCTTTTGTTTGTTAAAAAATGAACCCGCTGTGTATGTTAAAGTTGTTTCTGTAGATAAATTTAATAATGTTTTTGGGGTGTAAGCAGCTGATGCGAAGCCAACGAAATAAATGATGGTACCTTTTTATTCTGCAGAAACTTTTGTTCTTGCTTTATTCAAATTTATAAAGGGGAATAAACGTGTGAATTTCTGGAAAATTATTGCTTGGAATAAAGAAATGACAGTTACTATTACTATTACTATTATTGCAATTTAATGGCTAAACAATACCCAATTAGAAGTCACGTGTGGATGGATTTCCACCAACGACAATAGTTGGGGTCGCGCTAAAATCACGAATTGGTAGAAGTTAGAATTCATGAGCCATTGAATCGGGTCCCAGTGGCTGAATGGTATACGAGCTTGCCTTGTAACCGGAAGGTCCCGGGTTCGAATCCCAGTGGGTGCGTACTGCCGATGATTCCCAAACTAGGATGAAACAGCAGCTGTCCAGTACTCCCTGGTTTTCAATGGTTCTCTAACTGATATCAGTCCGTGATCAACTCGTAAAACATAACTAATCCTTACAAACCAAACTATAGAAAATACCCTACTCATTTGATCGTGAATATATATGTTACTGCTTATCCCCTCAATGTGAAGCAAGCAGATAATTTCTTTAAGTCGTTTCCGCATCTCTTTCACACAGGTGGATAATAAGACTAATCCAAACTAGACATATTTTTATAGCAAACTTGCAGTTGAACTCCTTCTTCACCTCATCATTCAAATTCCTTTATGATAAAAAAAAATAACAAAGCATAAATGAAGGAATTTGAAATTATTACACTTTCACTTTTTTAAATTATTTATTAGCATTTTCATTAATTTTAAAAAATTGTTTTAACACATTTATTGCTTCTTCAACTTCAGGATCCCCAGATCGATTTGATTTAATCAAAACTTGATAAATCTCTTTCCATTTCTTATGAATACGTTTCGAACTTATCATCCTGTTCGATCCTTCCACCACTTTAAATTCAACCATTTTAAAAAAGGATAAATAAAACCATGAATGCATTGAACCAAATAGAATAACAATAAAAGACATAAAATCTCGTAGGCTCCAATAATTAAATAAACGTAATTTTGCTTGTGCTCTTCCTGATTTCATAATATAATAATATAATTCTAGACTGATCGGTATTTGACAACATCCTCTAATAAATAGAATCAGTGTTAACCAACTTGAATAAACAATCACTAAACTTGTTGTCTTTTTCATACCATTTAAAAATTCACATATACTACTGACAATTTCATTTCGTGTCTTTTTAATAAATGTTAAAGGATAAAAGTGTAATACAGTATTACATATTAATATATGACGTTTACGTAGATACTTTAAGCACAGGTATATTATAATACACTGAAATAATCCATAACCGAAAAGAATTCTATGCACTTCAGCTGTAAATATTAACAATCTTGGTAGAAGAGGATTAGTTGAACATTGTAGTCTTCCATCGAATATCCACAGGGTGTTTACACAGTAATCAGGTATAGCGATTAAAATAGAAAAGAATAATACTAAGAGAATCATTTGTTTATTCGATGTTGGTGGTCTATAGGCATAGAATTTTGCATACAATGTAATATCTATAGTATATAGTGTTAAAAGAGTAACTAATAAACAGTTGACAAATGTATTCACACTACTATACACTTTGCATAGTTGTATTTCACGTAAATGCAAATGTATGCCTTTCAATCCGAACCATGGAAATCCACGATTAATGAGTAAATTAAAGACGCCTAATACAAGGGATAGTAGAATATGAGCTAATAGTAAACAGAAAATATGTGATTTTTGTTTTTTAAACCATGAATTATTAATTCGTGAGTGGTACAATAATATAATTCCCATTAATAAGGAATAAATTATAGTTGAAGGAATTAAAGCGAAACTTGTTAATCCAGTGAAAAATAATGGATCACAGATGGCAGATACATTCTGCGTAAATTCTTCATACTCTGTACACTCTTGATAGATATGATCACCTTCTAAATATTCTTGTAGGTAGATACTACTATCTGTAGACATTAATAATAAATTTATGAATGATGAATGAGTCTATAACTATATATTAATATTGATAAATGAATTGTTTTAAATGAAAATAATCAATAAGTGTAGTTATATAAGATGTTACTACTACTACTACTTGCTTAACTTCTACTTTGAGCTGCATTATCATATGAATAAAATTACAATGTTATATAATCAATTAGTGGCGATTACTGATTACCACGCTTATTACCAAGATTGAAATTATTTTAATGATTAGGTCATTTGAAGGGACTTCCATTTTTGTAACGCTGATGGTTACATTATTATCATTATTGTTCCCTTGGGTTCCGAGTGGAGCATCATAGGGCTTCAAAAAGACATCGCAACTTTCTTCTATTTTCTGCTGTCCTCTTCAGCTGGGTCCACGATTGACCATAATCTCTCATCTCCTTCTCGCCACACAATCTCCTCCATGTCACCTTCACACCGACGACCCACTCGTCGCTTCCCATTCAGGTTCCACGCGAGCTATGGCTTACATTGCGTGCAATGTCATTCAACAGCCTCCTCAACGGATATTCGATCCATCTCCATTTCTCCTACAAATCGGCTCTTGGTTGGTTTGTTGCCAGAGTTTCTTGTTGCTAATTCTTTCTCACTGGCCGGCCATTTGACCTTCAGTATGGAACCAGCCGGCTAAGGGGGCAGCTATTGACAAAAGTCTTCAATTTGTTGGAAATCTTTTTCGTTACACGCCAAGTTTCTGACCTATGTCGAGGAAGCGACTGATTCAACGTTTGTGTTGAAAATCCGAATCTTGTTCCTTATGCAGAGTCAGTGCGGGAGATTTCCAAACTGGTTTCAGGTTGATGAAGGTGTATCTTGCCTTTCCGATTCAGGCTGGCTGGCATTGACATCTTCATCCGTTCCAACTGCCTGTAGTTGAAACGATGCTTCCTAGCCGGATAAGTGAAGGAGGTAACCTCCGTCAAATCTCTCCCGTTGATGGTGATTTGTGCTGGTTGTTGTTGCTGTTGGTTATCTTCATCACCTCTGTCTTCTGTATGTTCACCTAGAGTCCTGTCTTCGCTACCAGTCTCTTCATTCAGTTTGCTGGTTTTTGCTTGCAAGTCTTCGAATTTGTGTGACGTTAGACATATATCATCTACGAAATCCAGATCTTCTAGAATCTTCTAATCGGTGGTTAAATTATTGTGCTTATATAAGGCAGATGTTGGGGAGCAGATAGACAGTCATACGAAAAACCCACAAGAAAATTCTACAAGGTCTGAACTTTATAGATGATTTAGGTCTAATGTCGCATAAACTTGAATGTCTACAGGTGAAAACCACCAAGTTGTTAGAAGAGGCAGGCGGCGAAGACAGGAATTCAGATGAACACAGAGAAGACCGAGTTAATGAAGGAACCTAACTGATAACAATAAGAAGAATCAATAACCATCAACAGGAGAAATCTAAAGAAAGTCATCTCTTTCGCTTATCTAAGTAGCATTGTTTGAGTTAAAGGTGGTACAGATAAGGATGTTAAAGACAGTCAAGGTCAGAAAGGTAAGACGAATCTTTATTACTCTGAAATCAGTGTGGAAATCTGTTGCACTCAGTATAAGGAACAGGATTTAGATCTTCATCACTAATGTTAAATTATTGCTTCTGTTTGTTTCGGGGACTTGGCGTGTTACGAAAAGCATTTCCAATAGGCTACTGCGGACTTGTATCAATAGCTGCCTTGATATTCAGGATCAGGTGGTCAGAAGGGATAAATTATGAGGTCCTCTTTCAACAAACGAACCAAGAGCCTATCTGCCCAACAAATATGCTGAAAGAAATAGAGGTGGACTGGACACACGCTATGGACAGTATTAAGTAATATCATTCATCAGACACTCGCTCGAGATAGGCACCTGAGAGTAACATGGAGGAAGAAAGAAAGGCTTATGGACAATCGTGGTGCCAACTAAATAGGGCTGCAGAGGACAGGATGACATTTCGAATTTTCAAATAGTTCTACCTACTAGTTCGTGTTTCAATAATACAGATATTTGATTCCCTTGTTAAGCATACTTAGAGAGTCATCGGTTCACTTTTTCTCAAGTTGTTCTTTCTTTGAAATTGATGTGTTGAATCACCACTCACAATCTCCTAAATACCATTCTATTTACAAGCTATACAAAAAGTATGTTTTACTGAGAGATTAAGCCGTCTACGGAGAAGTCTTGCTTCAGTATCACTTTTAAATTTGAGGTTAAGCACCAGCACCTTTATGGGGGCGACTTGGACGTTCTCCATATCACTCACTCAGTTGTAAGGTGTCTGGTGGAGAATCCTGGGCCGGTGAAAGAAGAGTTGTCGAGATAACCCCCAGGACACCTTCGATTTTGTTCATTCAATTAAGAATGTCAGCTTGGCAGATAAAAGAATGATCTCATTAGATTTCGTCTCTCACTTCATCAACGTTCCATTGACAGGAACTACATGCTTTCTTTGTGACTTCATTCAATCCATTAGCGTAGATGTTCGCATATCAAACTATTATCTGAAGGAGCTGTTACTAAGATGTTTTTTCAACGTCTACTTTAGATTCAACAAAGTGATCTACTGGCAAATAGATGAAGTAGTTATGGGTTCCCCTCTAGGACACCTCTTCGCCGACTGTCTTATCGCTAGCCTACAAAATAATTCCTTAGAAGTTGAATCTGACTGAATGTTTCATTTCCTCGACGTTCAACTGCCCAGAAATATTGGCAACTCGGTGAGAAGATCCGTATATAAAAAGTCCACACTGAATGTCCATTTTATCAACTTTTAGAGTTGTGTTCCTCTAAACAGAAAGAAAAACCCCATATACTCTCTTTCCTAAACAAAGAATTGAACGATCTCCGAAGAACCTTGATAGAAAATAGTTTCCCATCCAGAATCATAGAAAAGAATCTAAAACCAAACAAAACATCTGGAAAGGTTCAAGTCACCCCCAAAAAGATCCTGATGCCTAATCCCAAATTTAAAAGTGATACTGAAGCAAGACGGCTTTCGAAATCTCTCAGTGAAACATACTTCGCTGCCAGCTTACGAGTGGTATTTTCTTGCAAAAAAATTATTCAACGAGCATGTGGAAGACAAGCTATCGCACTGGTCCGTTTTATTTTAGTGTGCCCATACCGGTTCACTTGCTCCTATGGAGCCGAATAAATTAGCCATACAATGTATCCGCTTGTAAAACGTGCTAGGGAACACCATCCAGCCTGACTAGCAAAGGGAGAACGTAACTGTGTATAGATTTTAGGAGCAGAACATCTGGTGAATTCGCGACATTCAACTCCATTTGAAAATTCCTTCAAAATCATACACAAGATGCAAAATAACACAACAAATACCGTCTATTCATAATTGCTAGATAATGTCAAAATTCACTATATATCTTACTGCGCATATAACTTAAAAGTTAAGAAAAAAATTACTCTCCCTAAGGTGCTATAAATATTAATAGCATTTTTGTAGCTTCTTCAAATAGTTCAGTAATATGTTTTATATCTATTTCTAAAAATGGAGGTAATAATAATTTTGAGGAAATATTTTATATTTTAAGTGAAATTTTCTGTTTTAATTTTTTAAATAGTAATTCGTCTGTGGTTCGATAAATAAAAGTATGTAGAATATCCTTTAAGTTAAGAAATAAGATTAGAACGATACCGGTGTGTGTTATTTGAAAAGGAATAACTTTGAAGAAGGACAATATAACTTAAATGTGTTACAAACAGATTTAGAATTTCTAGTTTTTGGTCAAATCAACATCTACCTTTCTAGTAATTTGTCAACAGCTTTATGTGAAATGCTTTTCGTTTCTTAGATAATCACTTAGCGGGTTCATACATGAGATTATAGGTTTTACACGGATAAGATGAATTTCATCAGGGAATCGGATATTCGGATTTTTGACACTTATTGTTGTTTAGTCTCATCTGCATTAGAATTTCTAAATCAATTCAATGAAGGTTCACCTAACCTCTTCTCAGAACCTTTTTTAGTTAACCTATCTGTTAGATAGGTCAGCGATAAACCTTGAACAATCGTCAATTCAATTTCGAAGTTATAGGATTTCATCATAAGCTGACATTAGTTGGAGAACGATTAGAAAATCTCATGATGAAATCCTATAACCAATCAATCAAATCCCTACAAACCAATACTTGAATATCGATGAGATGCTCACTGGCGACTTGCCCTATACAAGTAGGTAATTACCTGGGGTTCTAGTGAGAAGTCGTGACCAGTAGGGTGCAGCAGGTCGGGTGTGAGGACAAATAGTCGCCGAAGACATTGGCTAGCGGTCACGCAATGTCGTGAATTGGCAGAAGTTAGAATTCATGGGCCATTGGATTTGGTCCCAGTGGCTTAATGGTCTACGAGCTCGCCTTGTAACCAGAAGGTCCTGGGTTCGAACCCCGGTGGGTGCGTACCGCTAAAGAGTCCCAAATTAGGACGAAACAGCTGTCCAGTACTCCCAGGTTTTCCAATGTCTCTCTAACCAATGTCAGCTCCTGATGAAATTCTGTAACCAGTCAACTGAATCCCTACAAACCAATGCTTCAAATTTGAAAGTATTTAAAGTTTATTAGTTTTAATAAGCCAATAGTTTTCAGTTTTATTAATTTTCAAATTTGAGAAGTAGTTTATGAATGTGTAGTTTTATTATCCCAAGCATCTATTACACACATACTATGCATAAAATCGGTTTACCCATAATGGAGTAACCGGAAATGACAGAAGACGTCCTTACATAACTTTTAATGCGAAACTATTTTCAAGACTTATGATAACGACCGAATTATAAGTGCACTTGAAGCTTAAAGTGAAGTGGAAAACTATCAGTGATCATAAAAGTGGACAATATGCTGAGTACAGTTTCTGGATTGATTTTCAAAGATATTCTAAGAATTACATACTTTGAATATGAGTGTCGATGATGCTATTTTGGGCCAAGTGCAATTTTAAGTATCAGTAAATACCAGTAGAGT